TAAGCATAATATTGGCTAGCCGTTCTCCACATTGCGTAATAATAATGATTGCTAATTAGGTAAGTACTATGTTTTTATCCGCACAGGTAGTTGAACGATCGACAAATGCGTAAGATTCGAGCGTTCACAGCTTATATTATATGGTCAATACACAAAGTAGGTACACCTACACGGCCAGACCATACTCGCGTAGAAAGAAAACCGAATCAAATGTTTGGCAGTTGTGTATATTTTATACACCTATGCTCTTGAAAACCGTAATCGTGATTGTCTCTGAAACGAATACATTAAAACGCTTAACGGCCAGTAAGTAATTTTTTTACGTTTCCATTCGTCATAATGATTTGACCATATTATGATGAAACCAACAACATGATGTGTTTTTATATGTAATATAATAACAAAAACTGTGTATAACTGCAGAAATAATAATATTATCTACAGGTACACACTGTAATGAACATTAGTTTAAATCACTGTAGGGTTCAAGAAGTTTGATCGTTTTCTAGTCGTGAAAGAAAAAACATTATATACAGTTGGGTGTGGAGGTGTTAGTGATGAGATGCAATAAAATGGGCGACACTATATATATTATGTAAATATATGTAGTATATAGGTGCGAAGTATTATAACTAACTCGATGTTTATACAGGATGGTTCTTTTATCGCAAACAAGGTAATACATAATATTCGAAATTCCCATATTTATTTTTAAAACACAGGTTGTGTAGTTATTACATTTGTCTATTGTATCAATTATAAATTATTCAATTTTGATCTTAATTAATTTGTTTGATTCCTTGAATTGTCTATGTTATTGTATGATTGCGTTAAATTGATCACCCTGTACGCTGCAACGTATATTTTGATATGATGTGCACTCATTGCCTGTTATTATAACAAACGTCAAAATTCCAGTGACATAACTCCAGTCTCCAGGTAACGCATTGTTGTCTGTTGGTAACTGTTAAATTGTTAAAATAGTAACGTGTCTTTTTTTTCTCTCTCTTACTGATTGGATGCGTAAGTCGAACGCTATGCCAAATCCACATAGGTAAGCATACACGCTGTCGCACCTTTTCTTATTTCTTAGCTAGGGATTTTATTTCATTCATTTTTTTATTTTATATTCATGCGGAACCTTTCTCTCTTGGACCAGACTGTTATCGTGTAGTCATCATTTAAAAAAACACTCGTACACACACGCGTGCATTCGTAATATTTGTGAGGTTTTTCTGACGGTACCTGCATCATAGAATATATGTGTTGGAGTTGATCTTGAGTAGGTATTTCTCGGTTTGTATTTGCATTTCGTTCGTGTGCAATATTATTTTAAAACAATATAATTATATTATTCGCGATAGCTAAAGAAAAAATATTACGCTACGTTATAACTTATAACGCTACAGGATACACAGTTTGTACAAAGACAACAAGTCAATTTAATAATAAATATTTTCATTCTTTTAAAGTATTATTACATTTCACATTTTATATTTAAATTTCACGTGAGATCTGACGGTCCATCACGTTTTAATATAAAAGGCTATTTTAGTTAAATGTATTATCCTAATGTAAATACCTACTAACAATAAAAATAATATTATGAAATTTTTATTCTACTAGAAATAAGTGAATTCACGATCTTTCAATATTTTTTTAACTCATAGTTTGTATTTTATTGTTTTTTTTTTAATTTACAGTTATTATTAATTTGTCCATCATAAAAGTTAAAACGATATTAGTTGTTCGTAATAGAGAACCTAATTCATCATACACAGACAAAACCGTAATGGTTAACTATTTTGCATGCTACATCTTCATCCGGATCTTACTAAACAAAAATATTTTTCTTAATTTGATTATATAACTTTTTATGAAAAAAATATTAATTCAAAACTAATTATTGAACATAAATTGAGTATTTATGTTATTTTAACAATTATTATTACGTAAATAATATTTATATTTATAATTTATAGAATAAAATAATATTTGTGTCATTCTTAATTAAATAAGTGCAATTAGGGTATCAACACTTTTTAATGCTTAATGAAATGTAATAATATTTTTCAATGAACTAAATATTATTAATGTGAATACAATAATTACTATGAATAATACATTTTCCACGAAATCGTCCTTGTCCTTCGTCTCCTTATGGATGACTTTTACACAACTATACGTATGGGATATAAAAGCAAGTATTTAAACTTCAACTTCTGTTACTTTTATATTTTCCAATGAATAATAATTAATCATTAAAATTGTATTAAGGTGTCGAGCTTCTTGAAAAATAAATAATTATTATAATGTTATAATCTTGCAATCATGAATCTCGTGCGAGATGACTTTGTATATGTTATGAATCATTCGAATTTCATATTTCACTATTATATTATGATATGTGATAATTATCAATATAGGCTTATTTCATTTTATGACATTACGTGTAAAAATAACTTTACATAACCACGCTGATGTATTAGTTAGTTTGGTTTATTTTGATGTAATATTGAAATGTGTATGTTTAGGATATTTCTATGAAAATAATAAGCGCAAAAACAAACAATAATATATTAGATAACTTAACAAACAGGACCAATGTGTTTAATGACAACGCATCAGTAGTTATATGACAATGTGCATAACTTTAAATAAAAGGATCATGACATAGCATTTTTAAAATATATTTTAAATAAACACTTCTGGTATAGTGTTCAATTTTCGTTGTTATGATATAATGTTTAAATGTATGAATACTTAATATCATAATAAAAATTGACAGTCACAATTTATTGTAAAGGTACACAAAAACACATTTTTAATGTATCTAAACATTCTAAACTTTTACAATAATTAATGATATATTAGTTTAGTATTAATGATAAATCATTGAAATCAAATCCTTAATGAGTATTTTCGTAATGTTCAAAAATATATATTTTAAGTTAAAACAATTTTTAAAATGAAAAATGAAAAACCTCAGTTTAAAAAAGAATAGATAGAAGGATAGATGTTTATTATTATTTAAAAGAATATGCAATTTAATTTAACAATATGGTTTGTCTCCAAAACCTACCAAATGATAAACTCTTAATTTTTTAAGAGAACGATTGAAATTAATCCTCAGGTTTATACATTTTAACTGTTGATTACAGATACCTGATACATAACTAGGATTCGGTTGAAAAACATAAAAACATTAAACAAAAAGCATAAAAAAGATTCAAATAAGACCTAATTTTTGTTAAAAATTTTAAAGCCATGAAAGTACTAAGATGAATAATACTTTGTCTTACTAATTTTAATAAAATTAATTATATTAATAAAATGTTACAATTAAAAATAATAAAATAAAATAATTGAACAGGGGTTATTGTACGATTATATTTGTATAAAACAGTTGCAACTACTGGAAATCTGTCAAATAATAAAAACTGACCTTAAAATGTCGATATATACAAAAAAAAAGTTAGTAATCTGAATATTTTATATGTTATTGACACTCATTGTGGTTTTGATATTCTATGACTAGATTTGTATGATTTGTAAATACTATTCAGTTGGTAATAACAAGAAGATTATATTATTCAAATAACATCCAAAACAAGTTAGGTTAAACTGACTCTAACTGAGTTGGAATGTTGGGCTTAACATGAAAGTCATCATATTAAATTCGAAAATATATTTTTTAATTTAACTAGTATTTTTTAAATTTGTATAAAAGGACACCTGATATTTTAAAAATATAAGTTAGGTATATACAAACTTAAAAAGTGCGAAATGCAATTATAAATAATTTGATAAAATCACAGATATGATTAGCAATAGTAGCTTAATTTTGAACCGAAATCTAAAATGAAAATATTTAGTCAAACAAGTTTATTTTGTTTTGCAGAAATTAAAAATCTATTTTATAAATTACAGGTTCAGTTAGATTAAGTCGTGTAGCTACAAATTAGAATAAATGTTTATAAGACTTCAAATAGCATAATATATTTTTTAACAGTTGAAACAATTTTCTATAATGTAACTTTAACATTTTATAATTATAACATCACAGGTTTAAGTTACATTTTTTTTTATATTTAACAATTTTTTTTTTTAATTTACAAAATATACTGTTTTTACATTAATAATTCTACCTATGTAAAATTTTAAAAGAATGGAAATGATTTTATTATTATTATATTGAAATATTAGCAGTGTACATTTTAATTTAGGAAGAAAACTGTGTTTTGTATTCAATATTCATGAAATATAATGTATTGTATATACAAATTAAAAATGCATAAGGACAATACAAAAATTTAAGACGGCATAATATGACTTATGCATTATTTATGTTTTACCCAGTACCCTTGATTTGTTTCAACAAATAGTTTATTTTTATGTTTCAATTGGGTTTTTCATTAAAAATATTGACTAGAAATTAAATTATTAACCTATTGAAACCTTATTGAAAGCCATGAAGGTAATACAAAAGATGCCACTTATTTTGACAATAAATTACTATACTTTAAAAAATATATCCAAGTTAATAACAAATTAACAATCCCACAAACTAAATTTTTGGTATATATTATTAGTTATTACTATAGTTAACAATAATGTATAAAATGTTTACTAATTCGGCATTTAGGCATAAAATATTAAAATAACATTCCTTATTTGTACATAGACATATATATATGTGCCTAAACGTCAATAAGTATCAGTATAATGTGATTTGATAAAATACTACAGCATTGATAATATATAATTTTATGATATTATACTCTTATCGGTTAATACCGGATAGTCGTGCATTTATTTTATAGTTTTAACATTTGTACGTGTTACTATATAATAATAATAAACGAAAGGCTCAAAGAACAATAAATGTCACGAATACCAATACAATTAATCAGTGAAATTTAAAATTAGTTAAAACTAGGTAACAAAAATTAAATTAAAAATATTAAACAATGTAAACCATAAATAAACAATAAACTCACTGTAAGTAATTCGTAGCACATGTGGTAATCTGCGATGAAGCTGATGACCGGTGCTATGCAATAGATTTCGGAAGTTAAAAAAGCAAAAACCAAAAAAGCAAAAAAACAAATAACTATATTGTATAATAACAATAATAATAATAATAATAAACCGGCAGCGAGCAATCACTATATACAGGTCCACGTGCGACAAGTCCGTTACGGCAGTAGATCTACGCGGTTGATCACTATACACATCGAGCACGCAACGGTGACTGAACAGTCTGGGTAGACGACGGCAGATCGACGGAAAGTGAAACTTCGCAAAGCCTCCGCACCCCTCCACCGGTCGTGTGGCTGTACAGCTATTTATATTATTATGTCTTATTCATTTTTATACACACCAATACGCTGTAATATGTTGTTGCGTTATTGTTACTATAGAGTATATAGACAGCCGTATTATACATATAGAAATCCGTACTTGACACGCAAAAATACAGAATTTAGATAATATAATACAACACTGCGGTGTCAATGTGTGCGGCCATACATTACACAGGTACCGATACATAATCTGTCCAAAACAACAATCGTTTATAAGAAAATATTAATATTAAACAACAATAAGTGCCACTGGCTAAATGTTTCGGGGACAAATGTTACGGGGCCCTATATATACACACTTAATAATAATATATAACTATACATCAGACATCTACCCCTATTTCACATCCTGTTTTGGTGTGCAGTGCGATGTCAAAAACACATTTTTGATGGGGTTGATTTTAAAAAATTTCTCATTGATTTACATAATACGCCTATACGAGTGTAAGCCATAAGGGAAAACTAAGTATATCGAACATTTTTAACGTACACCCTATATCCTCTGCCAAGAGCCCAAAACAAGAGCACTGTTGCGCAGTGCTCAGCTTGGAAAAATTGAAGTAGGATTGTAGGAAGACTTTGTTTACTTTTAAAAAAAGTCACTTGTTAAACGTTGTTGAGCTGTGGGGGCCATGCCCTCACACCACTTAACACCCCTATTTAAATCATATCAAAAATATTTATAAATAATTAATTTTAAAAATAAATACAAACAAAAATGAATATAATAGGTAATTACTAACTATTGTTCATAATATTATATTATAGTTATAAATAATATAACACTAAAAATGATAATACAAGTAAATAAATTAATAGTTTTATAGATCAGTGGTAATGAAATAATGCATAAGACAAATTATGATGGTATCTCATGCATTTCGATGAATGCGTTTCGTACGTTCCCCTTAAAAACAACAATAAGGGTACGCTAACATTTCTGAAAAATTACTTGGGGTACTTCGTCCCTCTACGTCCACCCTTCAAGTAGAGCATTGTTGATGCGAGTGTCGAACATTTCGAGCGCCTACGAGCCGTCTGGATTTTTCGTATAAATTATTTTTTTAAATAATTCCAAGATTACTGAATTATCGGTGTAAAATTATTTATATTTTGTATGAATATAGTTCTTAAGGAAGAAATTATAAATTTTAAAATATTTAAATGTATAGGCTGATGAGTAAATTAATAACCACAGCTATTGATCCTTTGATAATAAAAAAAAAAATAATAGGTAATAATAATAAAATACGTTTCCGAAAAAACATATATATTATATAACTATCCATCAATGTTTAACAGCCTATGATGTAAAAACATATGATATGCATGAAACTAGTTTAACCATTACGATTTAGTCTGTGTATGGTGTATTAATTACTCATTTTTATTACTTTGTATTATATAGAATTATCACTTATTATGTGCAAAATAAAATATATAAAACAAGTACAATTTCACTTTAATATAGATATTTAATATAAATTTAATATAGCTTAATATCCACAAAGGGTAAATTTCTAAAGTTATCATATACCTGCCTAATAATATGGACGTCAATACAGTTAAGAATCGAGTAAAGTATGTATCATAAAATTCAGTTTTATTTAATCAACATAGGTAGTATAGCTAAACTATTACAGGTTCATATACCTGTCTGTATAAAAATAATAAAACTGTGATGCTATATTTTAAAGGTTTAAAGGGTTTTAATAATTTCTTAATAAATCGATATAATGAGCGGAATTGTAAAAAGCAAGGTAGTGCCGTATATTTGAATCATTCCGTGTGCAATATTAGTGTATTAAAATGCCAAGTGAAATTAATCCATACTTTAATGGACATGGACAATTTATCACAATTCACAGCAGACAACATCTTAATAACGATAATGGTAAAACATTTTATGTGGAAATTAAATATTGTTCTCAATGAGGATAAACCGTACATAATGAACATAAATAAACAAATATTATGGAAAAACCATTTAAGAATTACAATTTTCGTATGGCTTCATTTAAAGTTGATATATCTGTTGGCCGTTATAATAGCTACCTATAATAGTTAAACTCGGTACAAATCTGATAGGACCGTCAGTGAAACGGGCCAAAACTTATAAAACCAAATAAAGGTAAGTACCTAACAGTTCTATAGATTGATGATGAGAATAGCTAAGTTTATACTGTCATACTGATACGTAAAAACGGACTTAAGTTTAAATGGTATAGTAAGAGTAAGTAATAATAACTAATAATTTATAAATTATTTTAGATTGTGAGTGGAGAGATGAAAAAGATGAAGAATTTATTTATATTACAATGATATGTCATGTGTGTGTCTGTCGTCATCTTTTGGAACAGTAAAATTTCCTAGATTTTCAACTTTTTTATTTTTTATTTTAAGTCGAAATACACAATCTATATCATAAGACATAATAAGTATAGGTATAGGTTAAAAGACATATAACATGAGTACACAAAAGATAATACAGTGATTTAAGAAACCACCCAATGATGACACATTAATGTTGACTTTTTTATTTTAAATTTTCAACTTGAATATCTTTTAAGGTAAAAAAGTAAATCTAGTAGGTGTTTTGACGGGTCAAAAGTAAAAAATCCCATTTCTTTTCTTAATAAATAGGAGGAAACAATTTTTGTAAAAAACGGAAATTTTTAATTAAAACAAATTGATTTTACAAAATAGATTTTCTTATTTTGTTGTAATTAAAAAACCGACTGCCGTAGCTACTTTCAAATTTCACCAAATGTTTATATTTTAACAGTCTATGCGTTGAATAATTTATTTTTATAAACATTCTGTAAGGTTAAAAACTTAAAAAGCTTAAAAATAAGAAAAGTTTTTATTAAAGTTACTTAAAAATATTAAAGATATAATATAGGAATGATTTTTTTTTATTAGCATTTGAACAAAATTAAATATTTAAACGAAGAATAACAGTTTTAATTACTTTGTTATAGTTAAAAAAAACAAGTTCTTGTTGACTTAAAACTTCTAAGTAATTAGCTATTCTCTATTTATACCACAAATCTACATTCATACCATTTTACGGTAAGGTGGTATTGACTTAAACATTAATAATCATTATAAACAATATACATATGTATCATTATAATAATTCAATATTAATACATAATACACGCAATGTATTTGGCAAAATTTAAATTAACCTACCGTTATACTAATAGTAGAATAAATTACATTAATAGCAATATCAAAAATCATCTCATAATTTATACATACTTAAGCTGACATACCGTCTTCACTCAGAATCGTTTTTTTGTATGCAATGATATACAGTAACTTATGAGGTCGGAGTTATATACACTCTATACCTATTGTACAATAGAATGGTTGTACTACCATAGTACCATCTCCTTTTTTTCTATGAAATAGGTACTTAAATATATCATAATATGGAATATGTGTTATTAAAGTATTACGAGGATTTGGACTTTTTGATAAAACCTTTTCGGCCATAAAATTAAAAATACATTTATATTTTAACTATAGCTTAAAACATAGTGTCAATTTTTAGTTATATGTTATATAGGATATCCAAATCACTTAAAAATTGTCTTATGGGAATAATATTAAATAATACATTTTTCCCGTGCTTGTAACATCCCACCTAACTGATCGATAGTTTGAGCCCTTTCCGTTATTAGATTTTTTTCGCTGTTTATTTCGTTTTGAAAATCACGCAACAGATCTTCGGTCTGTACTTGTTCCGTATCAATTTTTTCCATCATCTCGTGTAATGTCTTGTTCAACTCGCAAATATCATCTTGTAACCTATCGTTTTTCCCGTTTATCTTCTCCAGCCGTCTTCTAGTGTCGTTGATTTCCTTGCGAATCGCATCATCTAGATAATCACTTTTGTTTGAATTGCATACATTGCCTTTTTCGGTAAGACTTGCTTTTATTTTGTTGTAATGTATTATCACTCGCATGGCGTTCATCCATTCTCTCCTGGCAACCTGTAAAACGATTGTATGAATAACAATATTTCTCTTGGACATCAGCCTCATCACAACAACCTTATAGTACTGTATTCCACGTTTTATTTCGGTTTGTAGATCTCTTCTCATGGCCACTATGAGATTCTCTTGTTTTTCCAGAAGTCGGAGAACAATTTTTTGGCGTTCCCTCACCAATATAGATAAGAACCTGCACGTTGAATTAATATTGTGTATTTGTATATTTGTATTATTATATGTTAACGTCACATGACGGTACGGTCATAAATGGTACTTACTTTTGAACTAAACAAGCGGGATATGTCTTATCTAGTGCATTGGTAACCTCTTTAGTGGGTTTTTCCGCTAAAGCTCTCTCCCACATCATTTCGGACACGGAGTTCGAACAGGTGGATGCCGGACTGGTTAAAGTAAGTATTGAAGTTGTCGAAGCAACTTCTATTTCGGAAAGTTTGTTGTTACGCTCCTCGATCTAGAAATAACATTCAACGAATTAAATAACTGCGATCATTGTTTACGAACAGCTCCAGATCATTATCAATAAATAATAACATCATTTATATAAGCACCAACTAATCAATGTTTGCAAGATTACCTATTTAATCTAAAATAATAAATTGTAAAAGCTGAAAGTATAAGCTAGGTACACCATAAAATACCTGATAAATAAAAAATGAAAAATTGATACAAGATTAACATATGAAATGAAAAAATGTTAACATTGATTAGAATAAAAGTTCTTTTATATTATTTGTCAGATCTTTCTGTTACATCTTGTATAGTGATAAGATATTTAGATAACAATAGATGCATCGAACATATATTTTAATTAGATGTATTGATTTTATTCATATTTACATCTCGTAGTATATTCTTTACTCTTTTTTTCAACGTTGATAGCATATTAATTTTTTTGAATAGATGTGGGTAGAAGTTTTCACATCCTTTGCTCTCGATCTAAAATATAAAAATGATTGCACAATAATACTATTCACTGTTTCTCGTTGTTGTCTCACTATTAGTTTTTCGAGCAGCTTCTCGACGTAAGGATCGTGACAAGCAGTACTGCTAGGATCATCTTCTTTCAACATTTCTTGTTCGATACTGCTGTATACTTTTTTGAAAAACTCGTAAGTTAATATTCGAACTTCCGGAGCTTTTCGTTTTAGCAAAATTGATTTAATTTGGGCCGTTAATTGAAACATTCTGTTTTCCTGCCCACTTTTATTATTCTGTACGTTAGACAAGTCTACTTTTAAGTCTAATGGCTTTACTTGAGGCGCGGGTCTAAATTTAAAAAGTTGTAAAATAATTAGTAGGCACCTACATATTACAAGAAAATGTCATCGGTACTAATATATTTATATATGATATATCTTCTAAAATTCTACAAGCAAACACGATGTTATGAATTGCTTAGACATTCATTATACGTATTATTGTACCTACTAGTATTTTAAATACATAATTTGAGATCATTATTTTTTATAACTATATAGTGAAGGACTATAATAAGCAGCTAGAAAATGCTCGTATTGCTATAACTACATGATAAATAATAATAATCTTATGCATATTTAATTCAACGTATAAGCTGCAGTATATTCCCACAAACGGTTAACTTAAATTTATTACTTGTCCATCTTATTAAAAAGACCATTAAAATATTAAATTATCTTTGTGATGACAGTTGGATCCAACACACTCACATTTAAATAACATTTGTGCCTAAACGATAATAATGTAATTTTAAGTAAACGACCTTACATCGGTTGACCACACGTATTAACCCATCCGCTTTTCGTATCACCCATCGTTACAGCTATGTATGCGAATAAACCAGAATTTTCAGCCAAAGTTTTGCACGCTATGTAAGTTCGTCCATCGTTCGACAGATGATTTAAGTCGATCATTTCCATTTCTCGGTTTCGAACAAATTGGGACCATTTACTTTTGTTTTCTTCAATCTAAATATATGACATTTTTTTACTCTGGAGTGTTAAATAATTAGGCGCTTACTTCTTTTTCTTTTTGCGCTTCTAAACTAGGTTTAGTAGTAATTTCCTTAAAGACGCCATCCAGAGACAATGCTTCTGGTTTAGGGGGTTCGTTGAACGGAGACCTGAGCTTACGGCCATCCATATTTAAAATCAGTTGCGATAAATATATATTACGTGTTTGTTTTTCATTTGTAGTCTTATATGTTTCGATCGCGAGTTTGTCTAACCATTTCTAGAAATTTAAACATACATATAGTACAGTTAATAATTCAGAATATTCAATATGTATATAGAGTACGTACACTGCATATTTCTTTGTCACTTGGGGATCTTAAGGTATTAAAAGCTCTTTTAAAATGTTCTAAAAAGAACAAAAAATCCTCATCGACTTTTTCGTCAATGGATTGCATTATTCCGGCTGCCATTATGCTTATTCAATATGTGTATTATGTTCTTTTGAAAATGATATGATTTTAATTTATATATTTTTAAAACTAATTTGATTGTGTTCGTACAAATTCCATAACATAACATGTTACAGTAGCTATGAGAAACGAGTATTTTTATGTAAATAGCTACTATGATGTTGTTATTATACATAAAATTAAAATTAAATATCTAGATACAGAATTGTAAATGATGGTATTATTTAAAATGTTATTTTCACCATTTTATTATTAAAAAATAAAAATGTACCTATACGTACATTTAAAAAACATTATTTTTAAGTATAATAAAACAAAATTCATTCTAATAATTTAAAATTGTAATTAGTTATTTGCGTTTGTAGGAAGTTATGATAATATATTGTAATGGGTATAGTACGAATTAACTTTTAATAAAAACATATTTTATATATAAATCATTACACTAGGGACGTCTATAAGAATAATTGTATAGCATTTTATGTATTTATACATTTACTATATTGAGTGACCTCAGCAAAAAATACAATTACAACTTTGATTAAGAATTATGAAAATAATAATAAATAAAAATTGACTTCTTTCTAAAATTTCTTCAGAAAAAAAACGGAAAGTTATAAATACACACATATATTTACCTCACCTGTATACGTGCAATGTGGAGATTTTTAAAGAAGCGTTTTTTATTCAAATGTTCAACAAATTCAGTTAAGTACAAATGTACAATAGTAGGTAATAACTTATAGGTACATCGTAGGTACATATTACAATTTTTAGTAAAATATCTAAAAAAGTTTTTATTGTTTTGGTTTAAGATTATTTTCTATAAATGCAAATATTATAATATTAAGGATTATAATATAATATACCTATACTTTATTAATTATTTAATTTATTTTTATTTAAAAAAAAAATTATAGTTATAAAATGAATACAAATGTGATAAGGTAATTTCAATAAACTAAATTATTAAGAAAATAAAACAAAAATGTAGGTAAGTGGGAAAAGCTCAGTTGTACACTGGTCTCTTAAGAGGGACCGAGTGAATATTTTTTTAGACATTAATTTTTTTTTTTCAACTAATAGGAATTGAAAATAATATATACCTAGAAATAGCTCAACGTGAATCGTAATATTTTGAAAATGTTATAGTGTATAGAAAATGCTCTTAAGGTATTTTTTTTTAGAGTTACACTAGAACCAAAATTGATTTTGAGTAAAATTTTTTTTTTTTGGTTTTTCGGCGCTTTTGAAAATTACTTGGAATTTTTAAATTTTGACCTCCCGAATACACTTACTAGATTCACTTTCCCACTGGAAAATATACCTAAGAAAAAACACAAATCATTGTAAAATCAATATACATTCATCGCTAAATCTAAAATTATACATAAACCTATATGTAATCTATACACTTAAAAAAACCTAGTAGGAACGCTATTATAAATAACAGAGATATGAGTAAATATGTTTTTGTTCATGTTGTGAAAAAAACACTTGCTCTAATTTTAATATAATTATATGTACGGAAATAATTTTGATCAGAATTGAAAAAAATACCAGCGTGTCCTTAAATTCTATGGATATAAAAAAAAAGTAGAACTTTTGCCAACTTCTATCTGACTTATCTAATGACACACCTATATGCAATAAAATAAAGTATCATGATTTTTGAAAAAATGATCAACAAACCCAGGTTTATTGAAGGACTATCTTAACCATTGTTCCCGGCGTCCCTCTGCTATCAGAAACAATTTAACATTACTCTATCGTTGGGAAAACGCCAGACTCACGAAATGTGGGTGCAAAGGTTTCACTGGCATATATTTTTAATTCTATAGTTTTGTAAAACGGAGAAATTTTACGAAGGCCATAGAACACTTATGGTCAATACTTGCACGATCTCTTTGTTTCAGTAGTTTTTTTTTATATACAATACTATTATAACTATTAACTTTGCGTGGTTAAAATCGTAACATATTATGTGTGGGCGAAACGTTTGTATTTACAATAACAACGACCTCAAAAATAGTCAGATAAAAATACGCATGTAAACTGTGCGGTGCGCTTGATGGATATAGAATTAAGGTAAATAAAGGTTGCACAGGGTTCAGGGTGACAGAACACCAGTGTTTCCATAAATAATGATAAAAATACATTTTGAAAAACCATCTTCATCCGTAATGTATGCATAATTATTATAATAATGGCCGAATAATAATCTTGTTTGTTACGACACATTATGTACACTTTTCGATATGAAATCAAAAATGTCCTCGACAAGGCACACTAACCTTACTGGTTTTATAATTTTTACATTTTATTTGTAATGACCAACACCGTTGAACGTATACCAGTCAGACGGGATGTTGGTGATATTATTAGGAAATTTTGCAGAAACCGGATGAATAATAATGTGTATTGGTGTAGTAATTTTTTTCGATTATTGATGCTATTTTTGTTCACACATATAATATGACAAATCGAATAGGTATAAAAAATATACAAATTTAATGACATCAAACTGTTATTTGTATGACACTCGTCCTATTGGAATTTGTACGAATTCAGGTTTTTTTTATTTACAATCATCTGGGTTTGAGGATTCGTAATTATTATCGATAACAGGAAGTATGTACAAATGTTAAATCTGTTACACAGAAAGGAAGTGTGAACTTGGAGTATTTCGTTGTCATGGGCGGCCAGTTATTATAATATACTATTAGGTAGTATAGGTACCTACCTCAGGTCTCAGAATTATTCATATGCATGGTTATAACTACTATTTTAAAATTGTTTTGTTTACAACCAATAAATTTTGTATTTAATATAACGTAGGTACTACCTATCGTATTAAAATAATAATAAGTGTTTAAAACGTTGCTTGCTTTAGTTCAAATAAAATATGGTAACATAATAGTGCAGTATTAATATTATTTTGTGGTACAATTAAAACACAATAATTTACTAATTTTATTCATCTATTTGATAAGCTTTACAAAATCAAATAATCGCTGTGCCTGGAGATAATAAAGTTGACAGTTATCAATATCGGTATTGTATTTATTAATTTCTGCTTATGATTTAAATCTCCAATGAGTCAACTAAAATTAATCTGAAAATATTTTAAATATTAAAGTTGAAGATTTATTAGATTTTTTAAGTTTTACCCCAAGGTAGTATACTAGATTACTAGTATGGAATACTGCGTATTGCGAATACAAATTATTTTGGACATTGGTGATTCACAATCAGAACATTTAATCTATAAAATAACTTCGATTATCCTTGAGAAAAGTATTATTTATTTATATGTTAAATAGATAATAGAGTTAGGTATTTCCAAAATAATTCAATTGTGTTAATTTTTGTATGGATGTCTGCATTTTATTTATGCGTGCACATTTTATTAAGTCCATTTAAATAAGGTTACAAGACTATAGCAAACTTGAAACATTGCCTTTTTATTTGGCTAGCATTAAGAGATTTAATCACATTTTATAGTTTGAAATAATTAAGCATGTGAAGTAGGTTTAACGATGCATTTAGAGATGTGTTCATGCAGACATTTTAAATGGGAGAAAATTTTTAATATCCAAACCAAGGTATCGAGATCAAAACTTTGTTGTTGATGAATAATAATTGTATTGTAAAAAAAACAATAAGAGGGGGGTAAATGTTTAAATTCTATGAACCACACACATTACCCGGCACACCAAACGCCCATGGATCAGTTTTTTAAGGAGACCCAAAAAAATGTTCTTGAAATTTTGTTGAAACGATTTTTCTTTACCCTGGACCCCAAAAATTCTCAGGACGGCTCTGGGCCCTATAAAGAAAAATGCACCTAATCGTAGGTAATACGATTAAATATTTCGATAGTTAATTTACGGGGTCCTTACTCCGTGTATAGACCAATAACACACCAAGCAAATAAAAAAAATGTACGAGACCCTAAAGAAAAAAAACAGAGTGGCTCCGGCCGCATTCGCAGCTCAGCGGCCATGGTCAGGCCAACACTGTAACTAATTAAAATTAGACCACAATTTATATAACTTTATAGACTTATAGTTATGTATGTTATATAATTAATAAAATTATAATAATAGTACACGTGTCCTATTCCTATTGATAATATTATACCAATGTCAATATATTTCTTCATTAAATAACTTGGTAATTTGTTTGTCTTAGTTTGTTGTATGAGACATTACAAAGTAACTTCAGTATGTTTAAAAATTAAATATTATCATAAACTCAAATGACAAATAGATACTTAATAAATAATAGGTTCAATGATAATATTGTCAAGTATAAATTAGTATCACTAGCCACTACAACTGTACACATAATCTATAGTTAAATCTTAAATCATGAGAGTACTAAGTAATACTTACATTAGATAAATAGATACATTGCTATTGTAACAATAGTTCTTTTTATTCAAATCATTAAGACACAAAAAAGACACATACGTGTGTACTACGTATATAGGTAGTCGTAGTATAAAGCAGTATTGTGTGCATATACATTTATTATCATAATAGTCAAAGATTTTATGATGAAATTGATTTATAACTTATGGTCTTCTTATATGTACTTACATGGCTACACGGCAAATATTAAAATCGTTAGTGTAATATCGAAGAATACGAATTAAAAAAAAAAGTTTTTACAAACAACTATAATTTGAGATGTACCCCCTAGCTATTAAAATGTTATAGAGGACGTACATATAGTAAAATATGGAATATTTTCGCTTTTTACTGCAAAACGGAAAAATGTAAAATAATTTATAATTCAAGACGAAGACGTATATTATATGTGTACATAAAAGTTTTCAGGTTAAGGCTGAACATTCAAGATATTGTTGGACGGATAGATCATATAGACGTTGGTTGTGTACTGAAGTCTGAAATTAAAAATACTCGGTAATTTTTCTCAGAAAACGGAATCCATACACACGCATGTACACTATTAAATATATTTTGTGTTGTATA